CGCTCCACAACTAAAGTAAACGGCATCATTTGGTCGAGGTTCGCCGGTTCGCTAGGTTCGCCGGTAGGAATGTAGCTTTTTGTTATCCGGCTATTGGCTCACAATCACTTTAAGCGTATTTTTGAAACTCCTGTGTCGGCGTTAAGGAACTTGTAACGATTACTTTCGTTCTGACCTGACTTTGATCACGAGTGATTGTAAAGTTGTTTTCTCTGGAAATTTGTTTTTATTGAAATCGATGAACGATAGGAGTTTCGTGATTAACTATGACGACGTTTTTTACGAGCTTCTTATGCTGTATTGTCAAGCTAAATTTGACTCAACAGATCAGTTTCTAATATATTTCGAACTGTTGACAGTCACAGCGCACTGCGCTAGGTTCGCCGCTCTTCGGAGCGTGGCGAAAGCGCCGCCACCGTCACATGTCTGACGAATTGCGTCACTAGCTGTCGCTCGCCCCGGGCCAGTGAGGTAATTTGGGGCTGCGACGGGGATCCGTTGGCCCTTGGAAGGTCCGTGGGTAATGGCTCGGTGGGAGATTACTGGTAGGAACGTGCGGTTCGGCCCGTGAAAGTGGAGAGAATGACTGGTGGGTGGGCTTGTTTGGAGCGAACAGGTGGCTTTCTGTCTAGACTGTGGTGAATTCAGGCCGCACTGTGTAACTGCAGGTGCCTTCAGTTCCAGGTTGTGTGCTGGCTTCATACAGTCTAGTTTAAGTGTGCAAGTGGCCATGTGTCTAGAAAGCGAATTAATAAAAAAGAAAGGTTTTGGGAGCTCAGACACGATACGATTTGTCGTTGCTCACGATTCTTTGCATGATCCGTGTTTGTAGTTGTTTTAGTAGTCGAAACAGACATACGAAACATTTGTATTGCATAAATCCCAAGAACTCAGGCTACTCGTCAACTGCAATTTGATTTGTATTGCGTCGATTGTCATTTTTTTCTCATAAGTTTTTTAAATTTTGATTTGCCAATTATCTCATCATCTCAACGTTTCCGTTTTATTTTTGATCGGCGGGACGGTTGTTCGTCCTCATCTGTCATTGTCGGGGAGGGGCGGGGTCAGGCCGGGTCGCGAAGGTCACAAGGTCACGAGAGGAGACGGGGCGTGTCCGGCCCGGTCGGTGGCGCCACATGGTCGCCCGCCATGGCCACTCGTCGCCCTCGCTCTCCTGAATACGAGCAAATTTGCATCGGCTATCACCCGTGCCTGAATTACGGCCCGTCATCGAGTTTGAACGACGAGCGCGGCCGGCCCCGTTCGGGAATCATCAGAAATGTGACATGGTGGCCAGGGAACGATTGGACCTGCCCAGTGGGAGCTTTGGGGACGGCTGCATGCGGCTGCTATGGGTGACATGGGATCGGTTTGACATTTACTGTGGCAGGAGCGGGGATGAGTTGAATTTAGGGGTGGGAACGACTGGATGTCTTGTTTGAAATTGGAGGTAATTCCTGTTACTGGAGTGTTATAAGTAAGGGATCCGCGGACTCCATTGATGATTGCTAGTGGGATGATCGAATGGGATGACTGGTAAAAATATTAACTCTTGAAGACTGTTGGAGGCATTCTGGGATAGTGAGCTGAAAAGCTGTTCGGCTTTGATGATGCCACATTATGGCAAGGAAGACGGTAGTTGTAGTTTTTTTACAGAGCCTTTGACCGCGGTGCAATTATTTACCACAACATCCAGAAAGCTATTCACTAGAACAAAGCACGTCAAGAATTGAACGTTTAATGTTTCCCAATGAATAGCACAAAAAGTAAGCAACAACTAACAATGAGACCAATCTAAAAGGGGAAAGTAAGTATTATGAGAATCAGTACCTCTTTTTATACCTATCCCTGGAATAAGAGTGGATAATGTTTTAAGAAAAATTTTATCGTTTGCCACCTTGTGTTGCTTCGAACATTGCCGACCTTGTTTGGAGATACTGACAATGTGGTACAGTCGTGTGCAGTTTTTTCCAAACAGAACACCATCAGGCAGGGCCCACAGCCATTGTAGCCGTCACGGGTCGTGTGACCGTTCCGTGACGGCCGTGACATTATGTGATAGTCCGTGACGTGCGGCGGCCGGCGGGAGGCCGTGACGGAGTACCGTGACGGCGAGTCACCGTCAGCTCGAGGCGTTAACCGCCTCCAGTGCTGTCACGGATGGAAAGTTTATGGCGCTTACAGATGTCACGGTCTTACAAATGTTTCGGAATAATACTCATTTGCCAATTGCATCTACATACAGTAAGCAAGGCAATAACTTACTTTTATTAATCACCTTAAATCCCCGAATAGCAGATGTGCGGACGCCTGATTACATGTTTGTGCTATTCCTCCTCAGGCTATTTGAAAGTGAGAACCGCTTCCATATAGGTGCTTGCATTTGCATACATGTAGGTGCAATTGTGCAATATGCATGTTATCGAAGCATAAACTCTGAAGAGTAATAATGCTGCTCAAGCACGATCATTTATCAAACGCTGGCACGTCGGTGGGATTTGCTGCAGTGGCTCTGACGAGGTGCGGTAAATGATAGTGCTGCTTGGGAGGCCGCTATCGCGGCAGCCGTGATCTGCCTGCCGCCTAGGCCAGCCGGGAGCACGGTGAGCCCAGCTGAGCTATTGCCGACAGAGGAGCTTCTGAGAACCTGTCTGCCTTTGGGATTTGTGGTGGAGCTCGTGGGCGTCTGGAAACGAGCACGGCTTGCGCTAATCGAGATCGTGAAGAGCTCAGTCAGATCAACAGGGAAGAATCCGGTGCTCCAGTGTGGGTGTGTGAGGTGGATGTGGGTGGCTTTAACAGTCTGTTTTGCAGCTTACGAACATACCTTTAATGTGGATATTTGATCTTATTACGGCAAAGCTATCTTTACCTATCTTTGTCCCCACTATCGCCCCCATAAACCGTGCTATTGAATTTGCTACAACAGTTGATACGATGCCTCTCAGAGGACCTCGACACGTTTATGATCATGTTGAAGTGTTCAGTTCAGCGCCAATTTGCCTGTCCCTTGCCAGTCTTCCACCTGACAAATGCTTGATAAGCCCAAATTTTCAGTTGTCGAAGAGTCTATTGTGAATTTTGGATACGTGTTACCCCTAGTTTTCTTTTTTTTATTAGCGTAAAGACACTCGCTTTCCAACTGGCGTCGTAAGCACTTGGATGGTAGACGCTTCTAGCAACGAACTCCCGTCTGGCCGGATTTTTGGACTGGTTTGGTCACGCCAGAAGTCAACTCGTGCCCGTTCGTGGTTTCCGGCTCATAACTTTGACACCCGCAACTTGTCGTTCGTGATTCTTCGGCCCTTTGTGTCGAGCGGAGCAGGCAGACTGGTGAAACCGGATTCCATCCGATGTTTTGGGTCCTAAAAGCTTCTCTGCCATTGTCCTCAACTGGAAGCGATGCTGGAGGATGTTAAATAATTATACATTTTCGCTCGGCGATGCTTCCCGATGTAGCACGCAGCTTTTGCCAACCTCTTTTTGTTTGAGCTAGCAACCTTTCTTATTTATTATCGCTAGTTGAATCATGTCGCATATTTACATTGATTTAATTTTGATTCAGGACTTTTTACACGTCTCACTTGATTTAGTTCGTTTTTCATTCCGTTTTATTATTTTGCCGCACGCGCGACTGTCTTCGATAAATCTCATATTCACCTTGGGCGCTACATTCGCAATATCAATGAGGAGCGAGAGGCGGAATTTTTCCTCGCCTTTCTAGACGCTCTGTTGGCATTCTGCTGACATATTGCTGACAGTGAGCTGACGTACTGCTGACGTCCTGGTCACATTTGGAAACAGTTTCTCGAGCGTTCTCTGCGGCATTTTCACGGTTGGCTGGGCTTCGTCTCGAATTTGATGCTGTCCTACGACCTTGGGATGGATAACCGCCTCTGGAATGTCTGCGAATGTGAATCATCGGATGGAAATGACTGGTATTCCCATTCTCTGTTGTCCTAACCTGCAATATTCTTTTGTTTTTGTTGGCATTAATTTTGAACCAAATCCTTGTTATTTACTATGCGCTAAATATGAACGTTTTTAGATGCATATGATATGGCGTCGTTTGAAGCGTTCTCACGCTAGAAAGCCACGAGATTGAATCACTGGGTTGAATCGAGGGCAGAGATGGGTACATGACTATCAGAGGTCCAGTCGGTATTGGTCGGTATCGAGTAACAGCTACCATCTGAGTTCTCTCCAAGTTTGAAATTGTTTTAACGGACTTTCACTGGGTAGTGGGTAAAAGTTATTATTGGTCCACAAACTTTACTAACTTTTATCCACTACCCAGTGAAAGTCCGTTAAAACAATTTCAAATAAGCATTTACCTGGGTATTAACTATTAAAACATGACTCTTCAGTCTCACCACTCTCCAAGTAAAAATATAGCTTCAGCCAGCCAGTGCCACAAACTTTTGAAGGTCTGGCCGACATTTGTGTCTGTCGAATCTCGCATGAAGCCTAGCAAGCTATCCCACCAACAAAAAGTCACATTTCGCTGAGCCTGGCTGAGCCGACTGACTTCACACGTGTCCTGTCAGCGTTATCAAATGTGAAGCTAAGCCCTGAGTCGGTCTTTTCGAGCCTGAACTCCGTGCCAGTTTCCAGTTCCAGACAGGCGCCATTTTTGGCGTTGTCATCTTTCATTGCCAATGCGGCACTGGTTGGCGCCTTCGGGACCGTTAGCGAAAGGAACGGTGTGTCAACAGTGTCGTATTGTGTCACGCCACCTGGTCGATTTTATGTCGTTAGTGTCTGCGCTGTCAACAAATAATGTCATCAAGATATGAGGTCATAAGACACAGTCATCCTTCAGTCCCAGTCATGGTCGCTATCTCCTGTCAGAGGTATTTGAAGTCATTCCTTCGACTTCTAGTCATTCCGTGCTTTTCGCTTTTCTTCATCACCTAGTTGTGTCTTATCAGGTTTTTCAGAAGCCAAAAGAAAAGCTCGTGACTGTTCTCTGTTTGAATGTGTTTTTCTTCCTTCCTCAGCCGGAGAACCTGTTGTACTTCAGCCCGGACGAGGACAGCAAGATCATGATCAGCGACTTTGGCCTGAGCAAGATGGAGGACTCTGGCATCATGGCCACCGCCTGTGGCACGCCCGGATACGTAGGTGAGTGACGCGAATAGCGTGAACTTGCAGAACAAATTGAAACTGGCTGTCAAGAACTGACAACTTTTACTATTTGATTAAGATATTGGGCAATGCTGAGAATTTGTGTGCTGAATTTTAGTCAACTAAGTTATTCATATGCGGGTAGATCTATGCATCAACTGTACGAAGTTCTCACAATATCGGAGGCATTGTCGGCATGTCCGCGTAGAATCTATCAGATAATCGCCTGGAGACACTGGAGACCTGGAGCCATTTGACCTTAGCACAACGCTATCTCCGCTTGACTTGAAGCGTTCCTTGTGCCAATTCGTGGACCGCATGGCCTTTGCACTCCGAGGAATCCATTGGGAGCGCGACACCGGCACGGCTGACCTTTTGACCCCGAACTGTTCATGAGCCGAGGTAGGTCGTTCAGCCGGCACATGACGCCCGGAGGCCATTGTGGCGACCCAGAGGCAGTGTGTGTCGAGTCTGACCTGTTGAGCTCAAACCCCGCCCTGCTGCTGGTTCGGAGAACGTTTTAGTGATCGGGAGGCTTCTAGACTTCATGCCGGGCAGCCAGAGTGAGTGATATTTCCATTCTGCTGCAGGATCTGTGCAAAAGTAATTGAACATCGATCTGGCCGATCGATTATGCATTGTCGTTGCAGGATCAGTGTAAATCCGATTTAGACTCGGCATATTCTGAACACAGTTTCGCTCCTTCAGTGGTAGTTCATGCATGGCATTGCATGTTGCGCTTGCAATATTTATTATTCATGGCATCTTCAATGGATTTCAATTAACTCGGTACTTCTAGATCTGACAGAACGGAGTGGGTTGTTACAGAACAGGAAGCACATAAAGGCAGTGCAACAATGTCACAGTAAGACGCAAGTATGCTACAGACCTTGCATGTTTGGCTTCTTTATCGAGCCACTTGTGCCGGCTTGCCGGCTCGTCATTTGTCTCCTCCGGTGGCACAGGGCTCGCTCACCGGACCGTCCACCAGCCATCCCCAGAGCCTGCAGGTGTGCGCTTCCCAGCTCGGTCTGTTTGGCTCGCAGCCCCTCCTGAGAGCCGTGATGTGATTAATCACCGCACAGGACGACCGTGCCGGCTCGGTGTGCGTGCGCAGGCTGTTAAAATCACCCAGTGACCCCCGACCTGACCTCGATGCCACCGCGAACGGTCACGTGACCTACAGTACGGTATGAAAGAGATGGATCGATTTGGGACTACGCGATGGGTCGGAACTTGGCAAGAATTCACGAGATATTCTTACAGATCAAGTGTTCCTTCAGAAGTGTGAAATGGCTACTTATTGCTCACTTCTAACTGCGTACGTGTGGAGTGTGGAGTTCTCTGGAATGGCTCAACTACCAGAGCGGACATAATGAAGTATAGTATAAGATAGGTCTCTGCCAGAGAGGCCGGAGAAGGGATTGGAATGAGGAACCTTTTATTTCCACCTTTTCTATCACTATCCCATATCAGTATCTATTACCAGGCTTTTTCTCGGTATCAGGTTTCGCAATCTTCTAGGCGCATCTTATCACCGCGAGCTCGATCCGTCTCATCCTGTCAGACACTGACTCTCGTTACATGGAAAACGACGTTCTGCCATCCACCACTCACCATTCTACACGACTTATCCATCGCGACGCATCGGCAAGCCTCGTGGTGCACGGTAATCACAACGCTCACGTCGCTCCTCATCACTTTTACTGTAATTCTTCGTTTTTGTGTCGCCACCAATGAAGGTCATTATTATCGCTTCTCACTACATGGAGGAGAGTACTTTCACCGGAGCGTACTATCTGTAACATGATGCCGAGTTGTGTGGTGTTGTTGCTCGTAGATTGCGCCGCCTTTGTCTTGCGCCGTGTGCCGTTCCAGCTGTGGGGCGGAGGTTGTGACTTGTGATTCATAACGGGTGGTGTGTTGGGAGTCGAGCTCCATTCTCGTACTCGGGGGTCAAGTGGCACGACCTTTGACAGCAAAGAGTATGACCCAGGTGAAAACAGAATGACGTCATAGTCTGTGCAGCATGCGGCAATATGGATGCAAACTTCCGAAGGAGACGTCTGATAGATCCGTCAAAAACCATCGTGTTTTGTATCATTTTATTGGTCAGCCGTGGCACTGAATCATAATATCGTATTCAAACTTGCTATAGAAACCAATGCCATAACGTCCAAACTACTTTCAAAAGGAGCTTGGAAGGGTATCAAAATCAATAGCACTGCACCTGCAACGAAACTCGAGCGTATTGCCATTGCTGCGAAATCTGAGTGTATCGTCAGCCACACCTAGCTTCGGTCCGGTGCTGGTATCGGCATTTCCTCACGTACCGTCGTTCAAACATTACCAATAGTGATCAATAAGCCAGAGTCCACTAGCTCCAGCTCTAGCTCTAGCTCCAGCATCAGCACCAGCACCAGCTCCAGCACCAGCATCAGCACCAACACCAGAAGTCAACAGTTCAGCACCACAGCGGCGATGGAAGGAACAAAGTGGCCGTCACACTGCCTTGGGACGTCTGAGCAGCGCCGATGACCCGTGACATTCAGTGATGACCCTGGGACAGCCGAGGGCGGCTCCCGAGCGCCGATGGTGACGATAATGACCCGGTGATGACCCGTGATGACCCCTGATGACCCGTGGTGACCCATACCTGCTCGAAATTGGACCGCTGCGTCGCGCTCGATGAAGACATCACATTATGAAATGGCGTGCCGGTGTTATTGTCGGACTATTTCTACCTATGCCGACGTCCGTATGTGGTATTGGTGGTGTTTCAAAGCCATATTTTTGGGCAACAGTTTTGTTACTTTCTTCATTTTGATAAGGTTGTGCTGTTTCATTTAATGTCATATTTGGTAGTGTACGTTATACAGACTCTCACGCAATCATCATGTTCTAAGTTTGACATGTGAATCCAACCCAACACTATCATTTGAGTTAGCTCTCATCATTGTCATTTCACCTCTGAGCGGTCCAAGACAAACAAGGTCAAGTCAAGATCAAACAAAGAGCGAACACAAGCGGCTCGATCCTCGACAAACTCTACTATCTGTCTCTGTGTCACTCTATCCTCCCTCTTCCCTCTCGCCTCTTCTCCCTTCCTCCCTCTCTCTCTCTCTCTCTCTCTCTCTCCTCTTTCTCTTCTTTCTCCTCTATCCTCTCTTTCTCCCTCTTTCCCTCTCTCCTTCTTTCTCTTCCCTTCTCTCTATCCCTCTCTTTCCCTCCCTTTCCCTCTCTCCCTCCCTCTCTCCATATCCCCAGCGTCCTCCGCTGACACGGACCCGGCGATGGCCACCATCTGGGTCCTGTCCATGCGTTCCCTCGCCGCTGTCATGGACCCAGTGATGCCGCCCCCTGGGTCCCGTCCATGCATTCCCTCGCCGCTGCCGGCCGCCGTCGGCGCTCGTCGGGCCCGGCGGGCGGCGTGCCGCATCGGTCGTCCCTCTGTGCAGGTGAGCCGACGGCGGTCGTCCCTCTGTGCAGGTGAGCCGACGGCGGCCGATCGATCCAGGCGCCTCTCCTCTCGCTGGGACGCTTTGTCTAAATTTGGATCGGCGGCGCGACGCGGCCGGTCCCTCGTCTCTGCACCGGTCCTTGGGACGCTCCTCGAAATGTCCTCGAGGTGCTTCGCCAGTGGACGCTCCAGTGGCGAAGGCCCCTTTGTTCTTTCTGCTAGCATTCTTGTCGCGTAGTTGCGTCGTGCGTCGTGGCGCCTTGTCGTTAGTCGGGTGTCTCCTGGTCGACACTTTCTCAGTCCGTTTGACCCAGATCGTCTGCTCTGTTCTGTCTCTCGGCATGCGTCACCGTCACGGCTGTGCCCGTGTTTATGCAGTGCGCTCGTTTCGGGGCGCTGTCGTCGGTCAGTTCATTGCCGCGCTCCGCCGGCCGTCCCTACAGGCTGGTGTAAAACGGCCAGCGGGGTTCGGAAGACACCCATGTTTACTCAAAGGATCTCAATAAGGCCCCGTGCTAAGGCAGTGGTGAATCTTCAGCTGATAGAGCCACGGCTGGAGTTATACCGGGCGAAAAATGCAAAGAAAGAGACGGTGCGGATTGCGGAACTGAATGGAACTGTCAGATAAAAATCCCTTGTGAATGGGTTTTTCTTCTGACAGTTGAAATGTGGGATGGGTAGGGACTTTCATGTTGACATTGGTGGCTGCTGGTCGTATTAGCAATTCGATTTGGTAACTTTTGCCCAGGTGGCTAGTTAGAGTTAGTTGACTTGTGGCAACCACGGCCAACTAAACACGGTTTTGATCAGCGATAAACATGTCTTTCAGTGATGTTTGCTGTCTGCCATCATTTTATCAGTGTGTTCATCACCATTATACATGACGCAACATTATTAACCTTCCTTTGTGTGCACAATGCCCATTTGTCCGATTGTGACTTGCAGATTACTACCGTCGCCTACATATATAAATGCCCCCGATACAAGTGGCTTTAATTTGCTGCACGGTTTTGCTTATGTTGATTACGATCTCAACTCTTGATGCTGCACTTCAGGGCTATGTATATTGATGACAATTTTTCCACTGTTTTTACTTCATCCAACATTTTTTATTGTGGGCGGTGAGTTTATTATGCAAGGGATAAATATTGGTGCATTGAATGCAGGATAAACTGGATAAATACAGGAGAAATTGATGTTGATACCGTCATTAATCTGTCGCCATTGACTTTGCAGCGCCCGAGGTGCTGGCCCAGAAGCCGTACGGCAAGGCGGTGGACGTGTGGAGCATAGGCGTCATCGCCTACATCCTGCTGTGCGGCTACCCGCCCTTCTACGACGAGAACGACGCGAATCTGTTCGCTCAGATCCTGAAAGGTGAGCGGCCGACGCGCTGGACCCGGTCTCCAAACGGGTGGGTTACACACTGCAGTGGTATGCTGGACTCACGGTGGACTGGGCCTCATTAACCGAGCGCCATTGACTGCCAGCCACGTTTTCGTCACAACCCCTCCTCCTCCTTCAGTTGATGGGTTAATAATAACTCATGTGGCGGAATATGACATCATGTATTTTGAGGTGGTAGGTTAATGAAAAGTCCTTCAATTTCTAGCAGGAATCCACCGAATGTCAGCCGGCATACTGTTTTACCCAAAAATCGTTACCAGAGCTATTGATGTGCTACTCGATTCCGAGAATACTTGGATGCTGCCCTGGATATATTTCATATACTTTCTAGTCATTTATCAACTAGATCCTGTTACTTTTTCTGCAACGGCCAGGCTGGCCTAATTAATAATTAACGTAACCGAAAAACCTACCTGAACGCCGGAACGCCAGGTGCAATTATCACGCTCTGGTGGCCATGTTGCACACGATCAACTAACTGTTGCTCGCCGCTGCAATGTTTCATTCGAAATTTACGTCTAATATGCCGCTAATAAATCCTTGTTCCGGCACCGGCCAGCGCATAAATAAGCGCTCCCAATTCACTTAGGCCACCGGTGCGGTGTATCGATGTCTGTGTGGGACGGGGAGCCGGGGAAGGTCGATCGGCCGCTCCTCGGCTCGGCCGGCCCACGGCGGTAGCGGGGGGCGGTGAGCCCTGCGCGACCACTGCTGTAAACATTGTGCGCACGGCTGAGAGAGACATCCCGCCGGGACTCAGAGTAAAAGGAAAATGATTTCCAGCTGGGCCTTATGTTTACTTTGTCGATAGCAAAGGAAGCCACAAAGCATTGTTAAAAATATTGTTGAAAGACGGACTTCCTTTTTAATGTCGTTATGGTGATTTTTTTTTTACGCATGGGAAGGTGGCTCTCTGATTTCTGAGGTTGTTTCTGCTGCCCGCTGACTCGTGAGGCTTCGGCCTATAATTATTATATAATTATATAATTATATAATGATTGTTGCTGGAGGTCAATTTAGTACTTCTTTCAAAACAAGATACACCTGCATATAGCCAAAGGGCAGGTACATTTTTGTGCGTTGTTCTCGCATTTACAATACATTTGTACACCCCCAGTGTCTCATTGTTGAATGACATTTTATGCCCTGTCTTTTTACCGACCCGCAAGTTCACTATGTCGATGTTCGCTCTCTTAAAAAAGTATGTATTTGTCGACTGAAATGTGTTTGGCGTTGAACGTGTCAGAAACCGCCTTTCTCTTCATACATCATCTACAATTTAAATTGTTCTGTCGACACCAGCACCGAGCTTGACCCCAATGTTTAACCACTCCTCAGAAGTCGGACTCCATCGTTTGTTTATTTTGACTGACACTTGACACTCTCCCCAGGCGAGTTTGAGTTTGATTCGCCCTACTGGGACGACATCAGCGACTCGGCCAAGGACTTTATCCGGCAGCTGATGTGTGTGGATGCCGAGAAACGGTACACCTGCAAGGAGGCGCTGCAGCACCCCTGGTACGTTCGGGTGACGTCATTATGTGGTGACGTTATCATATCGGCCGACCCAATGGGAACCCATATTTTTAGTGAATGTCTGCACAAATCCTGTGATGTTTTTGTTACACATTGGTTATTTTAGCCTCGTATAGACAACCATACAATCACATTTCACCCCAAAGGTCTTCCGAGTATCTAAGAACAAATCAAAATCGCAACCCATATTCACGAATTATGACCATGATGGCCTCAGGCCTGGGACCATCCGTTCAACTATTCGGTCATCGCCTATGACGTCAGTGTCTGCCGCTGAGCCAGGGGACATTCAGACAATGTCGTCGGCCGGTACTATAGGCTAGAAAGCACCAATCTGTGCCAGCGAGCTGTAGTGCAAAGGTCAGTGATGCCATTGGTAATGACATTGGGCTGGGGATTGGGTCGATGGAGCGCCACAAACGCCAGCGCTACGCCAGAATGGTGCCCGGTGCACGTCCGCTTTTTATTTCCTCGAGAGATTGCAAAAGGAAGCGAGTGGGAATACTGTGGAAATCGGTGTGGGAATTAAAAGTTTATGTTGAGTCATGAATGAAGAAGGAGAAGTGCCGGAGGGGGTTGCTATGATGCCCCGTGTCGTCGTTATTTGCTGAGTTGTGATGGTTCGTTTGTTGTTTGGAGCAGGCGGCGCATTTAAATATGAAATACGGCCTGTGATCAGGACATGGGCGCTCTCATCGTGTCGTGCATTGTCATGGCGATTCGTGACATTTGTTTTCCTTCGCGTTCACATTCCATGTGTGATCCCGTTGCCCATGTCCCGTTCTCATATTTTTGGTCACTGTACCGCAGTTTTTCCAATTGTATCTCGTCCTTTTTACGCCCCTTTAAAATTGATGCTGCTTTGCCCGAGATACGTTTACAAAATGTCTCTTCCCCTGAACTGCTTAGAAATTTTTGCTTGCCGTGTGGTTTTCTCCGTCTTGTCTTTGTTTTTACCCGTGGTACCCGATTCTTTATCAACTTCACAGCAATACACCCAAGATTACTTTACCAATAAATACACCCTTACTCCACAGTGTATCCTTTTCTAACTTCACTTTACCCATTTATCTATACTTCTCCCAATCCCCACCACTGTCCTACACCCTCGTTCCCTTTTCTCCGGACCCATTACCCTCTGCCTCGTTGGGCCGGAAGGCGCCAGAGCCACTGATGTGGCGGCTCTGGTGTTCATTAGCCATGAGCTCCAACACAGAGTAGGCGGCGGCGCAGGGGGCGGCGGGCTCGTTCGTGTTCTGTTGTGTGCGTGTGCGGTGCTGAGTGGGAGCGACCATGATGGATCGGTAACCCCGCCCCTGTCGGGCCCACACAATGGTCCACAGTGTCTGACTACCGCAGACAATGACTAGTAATGATGGACAATGACGTGCATGGCCCAGTTCAGCGACATTCAGAGCAACGGAGTGTCGGGGTAATGTAGACACGCTCGCTGCTCATGGTTGTGTGTCGGATGATCATGCGCGGTGCTCGGAGAAGCTTGCATTTTTTAGTTGTCTTTGGTGATTATTGGAGATAATTTAGAACGGCGGACATGTGATGGTAAAGTTTTTTTATGAATTTAAACGGTGGACCTGCACCCTAAAAGTTGACTTACTGTGTGTGATCTCATGGGCAGGATCGTTCTTTTTGGTACGAATACGATACGCATGAAAACAAAAAGCAACATCATTAAATCGATGGCCTGAAACTAGCTTAGAAATATCATTCGGACATTTCTGAAATGTTAATTAACTTATTAGCTTAGGCCGTATTCTTCTTATATATGATTGTCTTGATGTGATAATTGCGTGTCGCTGCACTCGCTAAAGCTTCAGCATATTTAATATCAGCCATCTACGCTCGGTCTGCTGGCTGGCAATCAATACCACATCCAGTCACGGTTCTACGAACGGAAGTCAGCTCCTGGCTCTGAGCCGTGCTTACACCTCGAGAGCTGCTTGCCGGTGGAATATGGCCGCGCTGTCGCACGGATGTCTCCCCATATCGACCGAGAGTGCTGAGCGTCGGCGACTCGTCACCGCGCCGTCCGCTGTTCGTATTCCGTCAGACCAATACAGCGTTCGATACACATCACGTATGCCGCGGCCGCTGTCCAGTAGTGATCAGTGTGTCGAAAGCTGGCCGTATCGATACCAGAAGCACGGCTCTCTGGTCCGGGGGGGGGGAGGGAGAGCGTCGACTGCGTAGCTCCTTATTCATGCATGACGGCTGGCAGGCGCGGCGGGTATGGCCCCGCTAGTGACGCACGGCCGTGTGTGGGCCGTGTTGACCCGGTGTTTGTCTGTGTGTCTGTCCTCGCCGGCCGGTACTGGGGGCGGTGTTTACCTCTGATTTGTTTAGGTCATGTGGCTGCAGCACTGGGCGAGGTACCATGAAAAGGGTGTTTGGGCAGGGAAAGGTTGGCGTCGTGTGGGACGTAAGCAGGTAGTGCAGAGTTTAATTAGATTAATTTTGATAAGTTCTTCCAGTGACTTCCCTTTGTAACTTTAGTTTGTGCTTGTTGTTCGTGCGCATTTACCAGGGCAATGTATAAATGACGGTGACGCGCGCCATTTGTAGGATGCTTTGATGTATGATTCAGTGGTTTTATATTCAAAATATGAACACCGGTGTAATGTCTTTCTTATGAAAAAGGATCGTTCATACTGGTGAACCTTTCTGCGCTTCCAGCTGACGGACTTATGATTTTCATCATCACTGCACCGCCACTCTGAGTCTCATTTGCTCGGCTACCGCCGCTGGCATAATCTGCCGAAATTCTGAGACTTGCCGGGACGTCATACTGCCTCTCCTCTCCTGGCGACGAGCTCCGGGTGGCGCTGTCGCGGTCATTACCACCGTGATGGGAGTAGTTCTCGGCAAGACACCTCGTTACCTGCGACGGCAGCCCTCTCGTTTGCCGCATCGCGGTCGTCGGCCGGCGCCATCCAGGCGCGTCCGATGCGGCCGACATTGACATTCATGCTATGTAAAACGAAAACCCTCTGTGAAATGAGCTGAAGGCCCTCGGAACCATGCTCCTCGGAAGCCATCAATACAAATACTGGAGCAGTTTACATACCATGAATGTCAATGCGCGCAGGCCGCTGGACTTTGTAATGAGGCTGCCCTCGTCTGTCAGTCGGAACGGTGATCAATGTTGATGGCGGCTGCATACCAATTGATACAAATTTGGAACGAATTCTGCAATTGATCGGCAGCGCTTCGTAACTTGTGTAAAAACCGTTGGATTTTCTTGCCCGCTTCGATGGTCATCGATTTACGTTATGGGAGGAAACGTAAACTAAACGTGCAATGAGATTTAGAAAGTGACAAATATGGCTCTCGCTATAGAATGAAATATGTCTTCTCCTATTGGGGAAAACCCTTCATCAAGGCTTGTCATTGATCATGTCAGAGAAAAATGAATGGTCACATGATCCGAAGCACGTTGTATATAATGTATCTGAAGAAGCACTGGGTCGTGCGCACTTGGACGGTGTGCACTCAGTGCAGTGCACAAAATTTGTCTCAACCCGTCTTAATAACCCGCTCCTCTTTTCCCCTCAGGATCAGCGGCAACACAGCGCGTGACAAGGACATCCACAGCTCCGTGTCGGAGCAGCTCAAGAAGAACTTTGCCAAGTCGCGGTGGCGGGTAAGTCAGATGCCTCCTTTTTGTCAGAAACATGTGTGATTCGCACGTTTTTCACGAACTTCTCTTTTGATCGGTTTATGCAGTTGTTTAAATCCGCAGTTGGAGTGCTGTGTGGAGTTATTTACCCTTTGGAGATCTTTTTCTTCATAATAAACCTTATCCCTGAATAGGAGTTAGCTTTTCTATGGATGCAGAATGCAGCTTTCGAGAAATTATCGTGAGGTGTTTTCAGTGTGAATGACAGTTTGCTTGTAAATATTTTCATTCCAATCCGGTTTCATGCTTTGTGTATATGCATACTTTTTCTAATCTCTTCTCGTCTACTATGGCGATCTACTGTTAAGAGATTTATTTGCGACATTTCATCTTAACTACCTTCCGCTCCCTTCATGCTGTAACGATCTGCACCATTCTGCTCGAATTCAGGCTTTTCTATTATCTATTTCTATCATACCGAAACTTTACTGATACATTCTCAATCTCAATGCCTTTCTCCATACGTTTCAACACTTCGACCACCATTCGTGTGTACCGATGAAAGTGTGTTTGTGGGTATTGCGTGTGACGCTCACGAATGTGCGATTGGTGGTGGCGTACCCATGTGTGTGTGTGTCACTCTGTATGGAAAAACACTCTTACCCGGGACCGGATCGCTAACTATCCTATAGCGTGACAGCACGCCTGTACAGGCCCGTGGACCATCACCAGTCATTACCTCACATTCAGTTCGTGTGAGAATCGAACGTGATCGAGGCTATCAGCACATACTGCGACACCCAACGTTACATTGGGTGGTGTTTAAAGTGTTCTGCCATACACTCTCACAGGGTGTAGTTTATGCACTCTCAGAGGGTGTGAATAGGTGTGGTGTGACTGCAGTTGGGTAAAACTAAACCCCACCACCATTCCAGCTCACCCCACAACTTACTATCGCTAACCGGACGCGAACTATAACCACACTGTCCGTCCCTCGTATGCCTCCCGTCCCTGCGGACCATGACCTCTCCGCGGGCTGGCCGTGCGCAGCAACTGATGCACGCCATAGTGATGGTACACAAGATGCAGCGGATGCGTCTGAGCAGCAGCAGTATGGACGTGGAGTCTGCCCGGAGTGCCACCGGGGGCCCGCGGGTACCGGCACCCCTCCAGGAGCACCAGCCGGCCGCCGCCGACGCCGGGCCTACCACAGGTCGGCTGGAGGAGAGCGTCCCCGACTGCACGACCGGGCCGCACGGCAGTGCAGATGTTGCACTAAAGAGCTGCCGATGAGGATGCATTGTGTGCAGCGCTGACGATTGGCGGAGCCAGATGTGCCCTCTCTCGCTGGTCGTCGCATATAGTTTGGTGTCTAGATCCACCGCCTGGGATGAGATATATGTGTAGTTTAGACGCTTGGATGCTCCTCCCTGCACCGCTCATTGTTAGAGACATGGTATTGAGTGTCAGTCTAGCCTGCCTGAAATGGAGCTGGGAACTCATCTGTCTATCAGAATGTGTGGGTGTGAGAGAGTGAGAATGTGAGAACTCGAGTGGGTGACCATCAACACCATGTGAGTCCGTAAATTATCATGTCCCATTCTCTGCCCATTGTGTATCCATGTGTGTATGTATGTGTCGTAAACTCCTTTATGTTTATCGCCCTGGGACCTCTGTGTGACTAGCAATCTGTCACTGCCTGTGTTTAGCTGCTCTGACAAACAGAAGTGCTCGCCAATATCTGTGTCTGCCCGCGGTTCTAGAGCGCCATTTTTGTCTAGCCTAGTGAGAGTAGTGTGAACACCAGCAGGGGACGGCCTGGTAGCTGAATGGGTAGTACCTATATGTGTTGGTGTTGGCTGCAATCGGTGTGACTGTCTCGCGTAAATCAAGTGTAATTAACTTAACTAAGAACACATTATTTTCAGCTGAAAACATACAAAGTGCATTGAAGCACATTCGGTGCTATCAAGTACCAAAAAATAGTAATGCATTCGGCATGATCCTGAGTTGATCCTCAGGCATGATCCTCAGACATGCTAATGTCTGAGCATACTACCAATGATCTCATCAAAGAAAAATGCGATAAGCCACGCGCATAAAAACATAAAAGCGCACAAACACATAGATCAATGACAAGCAGATGCAAGTACTGTCTTTGTTTAATTAATTATGGATAGATCCGCATGCGGTCGTCGGCTGCTGACTTATCCACAGCACAGGCCTGTCACTGGTAGAGACAGGCAATTCCATGGAAACGACATTAAACACAGTGGCGGCGACGGGTGGTGAGGTCACGTTCCTGTGGTCGCCGCCGGCCGTGACACTCGCAGTAATTGGTGCGCCCGCCCTGTACGCCTGCTCCTCACTTGCCAACTCCCCCCCCCCAGACAATGGCAACGGCACTGGCCAGTCCCTCTGGGATCCCAGCACCACCCTGCGCTGCCTAATCCCAATCCTTGCTGTCGCTCTTCCAGCCCTCTTTAGCCTCCTACTGCACTTTTCAGTCACTCTCAAAGCTCACCTGCGCTTCCCAGGTCTCCCTGTCGTTTTCCCTGACCCTTCTCGTCTCTCGCCAATCATCTGCGACGCTCCGCTTTGACAGTTGACATTCTTTAGTCCCTCCAGTTCTCGTCTGTCCTGTTATAGTCATGCTCGAGTCCTATAACCCATTTAGTCCTCTCGACACTATCCAGGGAGCACTACCCTTTCCCAGCTCTCCAAGTTCTTCCTGTCCCACGGCGCTTCTCAGGTTCCACGTCCGCTAGCTGTATTCTTCCCATCTCTTTGTAGTGTGGTCGGGCGTCAGGCCTGGCACAGCCCCGGCAGTGCTCTGGCCCCAGCTAGCTAAGTGCCGAGCGGTGTCCGCGGCACGCGTGCGATGTCCATTTGGCGGCGCCAGCGGCGGAGTGCGCTCAATATCAGAGGTGTTTACCACACAACAGACCGCCCACTGCTTCTCCCAGACCCCTCCCCGCACGTTATAGACCATTCCCCCCGCCCGCCTCCCAGGCCTCTCCTTACACATCGTGGTCGTCTTCACCACACCTCAGAGACTCCTCCTCACACGTCTTAGATCATCCTTGATACCTCCCCCTTACCTCACAGGCTCCTCCCATCCTCTGTCTTTTCTATGTCCTGTTAGCGACCACAGCTCTAACGACACACGGCGGATGCCTGTTGCAGGCTCGTCTTTCGTGAATACCATGTCTGCGGACACTGGACATTCCCTGGCCGCAGACGACGGCCAAGGTCTCCGGAGATGCACCTAAGTGCCGGTCTGAACTGCGTCTAACAATAGCACGTCTGCGAGTCGCAGTCGGTGGCCGGGTCGGCGCCGCTTGCGCCCACTCGGCCCCGTCTGAACGGGCTCATCGCGACGGCATTGCTCTCTCGCTGATTGTGCTGAGCGTGATTGCTTGGGGAGTGCGCGAGGCTCGTTTTGGACTCCAGGACGCTGCACAATTCGTTCAGGCGGCTGAAAACGCCGCACTAGGGGTCGACAGGGTTTGATCTGGGTCATGGAAAGAACAAGCAGTCTGCAGGGTGAGCGCTTTATCTGCTGCAGGCTCGTAGAGATTTGATTTGATTAGACTGTTGGAATGAGTTTTGGTTTTGGTACACCGGATGAAGGATCGTTATCCAGTTGACTGAGCTATACAGACCATAGAATTTTCTACGTGACCGCCGATGCTGTGCTTCCATGCATTCTATGTTGGTTGGAGTCAAAGACGACGGATGTGGCCCGTTCAGAAAATCGCATCTTACCAGAAATCACTTACAATGTTTTTACGTTGGAAAGGGTGAACTTGAAAAAACCTAAGAAATTACAGGTAACCCTTCACTGACTTTTACTTCAAAGAGTAAGTTAATGCTATTCATTTCATTAGCCCAAGATAAGAGAGGCATTCGAGGATGGGGTAATCGTTAGTTACTCCAATTTTTAAAACTCTATATAAGGTCAGCCCATGACCCTCACTTTGTCAGATTTAGATGGTTCAGGGTCTCTTAGGATTTTTGTGGAAGCCACGGCTATTTAATCAGTTCAGTGTGCCAAAGCTTTTTAAAGTCTAGCGATCCACTTCTGCATACCCCACATCAATTTATCACCGCTCGGGGACCGAATGGGACGTTTGGTAAATGAGACCCATTCGTTGACGCTTAATGAGAAGGTCCTGATTGTTTCACCGTCGCTGATTTGTGAAGCCGCATACAAACGACGTCTTTGGTCTCGCTGCTGGCCAAATGAAAAGGATTGATTATGCTTTCCGTAGCTCAGGCTTCATTGTTTGACGGAGGTCAGAAATATTTGAATTAAATTGGACCGACCACCAGCAAGCTAGGCTGAATCCTATAGTCGCAGAGAGAATCTTTTCATCACGAACAGCTGAGATAGTTCGATGCTATGGTTTTTACTTTTTGGTTTTGGCACGTAGGCTACCTTATTTGCATGGCCTGCTCTGCTGTATGCCCTGATTTCGATAAACAGTACTTCTCGTAACCATCTGCGTAAGAGGAGTCACTTCGCCGTGCGGCGTTTTGTTCGATCGGCGGGAGGGTATACTGCACCGCATGGCATATGCAAAAACCCGTTCATAGATGGCGCTAGAGACAAACGCCTGAACCTATACTGTACCGCAGTACACACGGGCCGGCCTGGGGCGCTGCACAGTGGGGATTTTTCCGATCTAGCGCCTATTAATTCAAAAAATATTTTTTTGATTTTTGTTTATTTTTTGTGTCAGTAGGGCTAAGAAATGTCTGAATTTTTCATATATGGCATTGTTTTATCTGTATGTCCACAGCAAAACTAGGAAAAATGCGCCCAAAGTTCACACTCATGCGTGATTACTCAATGGGCTCAGCAAGGCCCGAAAGTATAGCTCAATTTCATTGTCCTGTCCTGTTGGTTTTAATCTTGCGAGGTCTTAAAGTTGCATATCGTCTGAAAGGCACCTTTATTAGGAATGGAATGGCAAACAGAAAGTATGCCACAACCTTACTATGGTCACAAAAATGCCCTTTACAAAAAACCCTTACAGACACCATATTGAAGGAATGGTATTCTAAATAAATGTAGGAAATCAACAATGTTCACACTTTTCCACTCCGAAATATATCCTATCGAATTCGCCACTTTCTTCTGCACAAGACAACGCCTAGTTTGGCTGCCGAAACTTGCCTGAACACGGAATATTCACATTAGAGTATCTTAACACCCCACTCGAGGAGCGCTAGGGCAAACAACACGATATAGGTATGTTCCGGACATAGGCGAATAATTTTACATCGTGATTTATATGATGCATATTTTCTGAGACACATTCATAAGGAATAGGATGACAAGCGTGAATTATACATACCGTAACCTTATTAACCATCGCACTTGTGGGGAGGGGGAGGGGGAAGGGGTCGGATAAAACCCCATGGTTTTCCGCAAATTACTCGCGCAAAAAGCGGCCGATCGCGCCAAAACTTTCGGTACCCTCGAGATCATCAATTTTACATCTAACCTAAAAATTTCATGACTCTGACCCAACTGACCTTTGACCTGTGGCATATTTCTCGAGACCATGTTTGGCCGGAATCGCGATTCGGCGTATGCCAGCTCACATTATCCGAGGTTTCCAGTCTTTTTGTGGTTTTAAACGTTCAAATATGTGAAATGATGTTGGTGCCATGCATAATGGTGGGTGTCAAGGTCACGTGAAGGTCAAGTCAAGGTCATTGACCTTTTGATGACCTTGGTTCACTTTTTCGAGTTTTACTTGTTTCTAGGGTAGTTGTTGGTGCTGATTTCGATTTTAGCAGCCATTTGAATATTTACGAAGTAGTTCTAGTGCCTTCGTTCCATGTTACGAAGCTATCAGTAGTAGGTGACACTTCTATGGATGGCCGGCAGGACGCCTACTAATTGATCTAACCTGACCTGACCCGACCTGGCCTAAATGCATAAAGACATCGTCTGTGATCAAAACTAACATGAAATTCGTGATCAGCACCCCAAAATACCCCGTAACACCCTAACTTTGCGAAGTTTCAAGAGGTCTCGATTTCCCAACTTTAGTTTGGTCATTAAACTGACTTGGAAAGTCAGCTTATGACCTTGGACTTTGAAATTGGATATATTTGGCCTAATTTCGTCATAGGCAGCACGCTTGACTTTTCCGCGAAGCTCTAGCTTGATCAGGGGCCAAACGGCTGAGCGGGGGTCCAATTAAACCCCCTATACTATGTTGATTATGCACATTTACAGGTAAAATTCTCACCAAGACTCACCAGCCAACATCTGTGCACAATCTGGCTACAATTCTACCTATGGTTTGCCCTCTACGAATAAATACGTGCTAGATCGGAAAAAATCCCCACTGTGCGCTGTATCGGCGCCGCGCGGGATGGATTATCGTGAATTCACCTTAGCCATGTGTTATATGATGAATAGATATCTGATAAGCAGCTGAAGTGGAATCATTGCGAATTATTATCAACTTTTCTTTTCCTAAGCCTTAGCAACGACTCTCAAAGCTTCCGTTTCAATTCTTCGCCTTGCTTTCAATTACGTAATTTATCTTTTCCACCACATTTCCTATCTTGAACCGGAAAGCTATAAAAAGCTCCCCGTGAAGGTCAGTTGACCGATGACCAGCGCGGCGTATCAGCTCGTAGAGCCGTGGGGGTCAGCAGGGGGGGGGGAGGGGGGACGCGCCGGACCGGCGCCAGGCTTCAGTCGGCACGTCGGCCGCAGTCGGCGGCGGCTCAATACCCACAGCCGCCCGACCGGTGCCGGGCGTCTCCCTGAGCCAGACGGTCTTCCAAGAGCTGAGCCATGACTATCGATCACAATATTTATGACACATTCGTCAGCCTTACTCAGTTGTCTTGTAACACGGGTGTCTGTCCTGTCCCAGATCAGGCTCCTCCGCCTGTCCTATAGATGACGACAGCTGTTCCCCGTCTGCCCTCGGGCTATGAGACCCCGGGTCGGCCGGGTCTCCACCCGGAGCTCTGGGCTCGATCGGTCGCAGCCGGCGGCGCAGATATTCGCAGATTGAGCGACATCGACTGCCGCCCTCGGCCAGCACTGAGCGCTCTCGGCCGGTTACTGACCCGCCTCTGACAATGCCGCCGGCGATATGCGTGCGGCAAATGATACCCGGCGGCCGGCGCCAGCGACGGTCGATGTGCCACGCGGGACGCAAAAAGCGGGCGAGATTCGTGTCGTTACAGGGATAATTTTCCGTTTCTACCGTGGCTATATTGATTTGGGTATGCAATTATGCATCCATAATTCCGTATCCTTGCAGCATAGGTGCTTACCTATTGGCGCGATAAAAATAAAAACCACAGCTTTACATCGCTTTGGACTTTGGAGACTGAACGGAAGTGTGCTCAAGACGAAACTCACACCGCCGCTGGAACATGTGCTGTTATGTGCTTTATGATAAAAGTATCGGCTACACATTTAGACGTTCCAAACTCTAAACTCGCTTATCATACAATGCCTTATTGGTCTTACATGATTACGATATATGTCCTAAAAATGTAGACACATTGGTGCCGCCTCAACGTCCCATCCATACCCCGTATGTTCGATTTACCTTCCAAATAGTTATTCATTTCCTCCCCTGATGATTGATCAGTGATTGCTGTCGATATTTATTCTCCCTAGTACATCTCATCAGCTATCCAGGATTATTTCAAATATTCTCACGCTGCTGCTCAGGAGACTCGGCTCTTTTAGGCCGACATACATGGCATAGTGCTCCAATGAGCCGACGGCTCCGCGGTTTTAATTAATCTCACCTGCTTCCTAATCAGTCCAAAAAACATCAGCATTGACCTTTGCTCTCAGGCCAGTGTCCTGTAACCTCCATAGTAAGATCGATTAATTGCACCACGCAGCGTTTCAGCTCCCGCTGCACGCACGCGCACTGAACACAGCAAGGCATGTCCGTCCCGCTGGGGATGATGATGCGGCCATTTGGCGATGATGTCGCGACGGTTTAGCACACGCTGTAAAAAATGCGTGCCCTGGCTGAGCTCACTGCTGCGGCGGGCTTGCCGAGCCACTCAGGGCAACGTGTTCATCTTGCTTATCATGTAGGAACGATGATGGGAATGCTAAGACTTAGGAGCAGCTCATGTAGACGCTTCGGTCACGGATATAAGCGTAGTTGAATGCTCGAGAAGGAATGTTTGTTATGTGTGCTTCTAGAAATCATAACTTCTGTAAAGTCGTAGAATGCAGTTAACAGAATAAGCCGTTCCGCAGAATTCATAATTGTGTCCGTCCAACTGTTCGTTTTGTCGTGATGATCCCCTCTGGACTATTAACGGCCATTTTCCAGTTTCACGGGCACTGTCAAACGACGTTAGATTCGCTGACCTTTGAGTGACCTTTGGTCGTTGATTGCGCTCTGGCTGTGACTTCCCATGCCCGTGTTCCCATTTATCGCCGTTCTGTGTGGGTCCCTTCCCAGCCCCTCGGCGTATGCCCACAGCTTCCTTCCTCTGATGAAATGGTCTTGCCGTGACGATATTTGGTCGTCATTTGCTGCGAAATTGTCGTCTTCGACGTTAGCTGTTGCATAACTTCTATTCTTACATCTCACTGTCATTCCAACAGCGCTTTTCTGTCAAATACTTATTCACAGCCTTTTTGGCTTGGTGTTGCATTATTTTGTCCTATGTCTGTTATCACGACATGTGTTTTAGACACATGCCGAACATGCCCCTTTACCTTAAGACATGTATCATATGCATCTTCCCGCGTACTGCTATCTGAAAAAGTGTCTCCTCAGTGTCATGGGCATTGGGTTCCCATGTGGGCCGCGCTTATCTCGCCTATATCAATTCCCACCGCCATAGACCCCTTGGGAACTGTGTCTCCGTCCGCCATAGGCCCCCTCTGACGCCGTGTGGTCGTTTCTATCTAATAGAATGTCACGAGGCAATCATAGACCGTCGCTGGCTACGTGTGTTCCTTTCCGACCCTCATAGACCGTCTCTGACGCCGTGTGTCTGTGTCCACAGCAAGCGTACCACGCGACGGCGGTCATCCGTCAGATGCGTCTGCTGGCTCTCAACAGTAGTCGCTCGCCGTCGCGTGAGCGTAAGGCGGCCAGTGACCAGTGATGGCGGCGGAGGCGCGCGCCGGTCGCCGCCCATCGATCGAGCGTCGACGGCGACGGAGCGCGGCCCGACCGACGCCGGGCGTCCGGGCAGCTCCGGGCGGGCGGCGCCGACGGTCGGAGACACCGGGCGAGGCGCGTCGGGAGCGACACTGATAGACAGAGACCGCTCGGCGGGGCGCGGCCAGACGCCGGCGGCCCCGACCGATGTACAAAGTGCACGGCAGAGACATGTGTCGGCGTCACTGGTTATGCATTCTGGGGCGCTCCTCTGCTCCGCGCGGGCCGCGGCTGCGGGTCGACCTGTGCCCCGTCCCCGGCTGAATCACGGTGTCCTGACCCACTGCCCTATCCCGACCTGAGCTGGTGAGGCATGTCTTGACGGACCCTTTTTGAAAAATCCCGAGTGAAACAGGCGTTCATGGAAAATATTTTTGAATTTATTTTAAGGACATAAGCACATATGTTTGCTTCCACCTTGAAAAACGTCTCCGTGCGTGTGCAATGCTCACACATAGTTAACTTATTTATTGATTCATACATTCTCAATCGATCCGTAAGAGTGCGTCCCTTTTCAGAATTTGACGTCTTGCAGCATTGATGGTAGCTGTGGTAGCTCGTTCCAATGTCCGATATGCGTCGTCACAGACCCTGTCTTTGGGCAGTGTAGTGGCACTTGGACAGTCGGTGGGATTTAATGCTCAGTCTGACCTGACTTTACCCACCCTTCCGCTGTAATAGTGCCCGGTTCATGCGACTCTTTCCGGCGACCAATTCTATTTTTGCTATACCTATATTTTAATGAGATCGATATTGGAGGGAAGCTGTGCCAGTCTTTTCTCGAAGACTGTCGTAGTTCTGGTGATCATGGAAATGTCGTAGTATTTTCAGTCGGCTGACGTATGTATTAGAGGCGTGCTTTCATCAAAATGACCCTATAGTTAGGTGTTCGTGGCCCCTACTGTGACCCTAGACAACTTCTGGAAACGCTCATTTAAATTGGCGATGCACGCCACAGTCGATGCATCGGTATAAAATTGCTTTGCGAAGAACGACTTAAAGTTGTTAAGTTGTCGAACTGAACAGCGCCCCAGTTAACGGTTTCATTAGAGCATTCGCAATCTCTATATGTCTGGTGATCAATGGGCCTCCTTTCGCATCATACTTTTGTTTTCTCTTGATCGACGGTCGCTTTTTGCTTACTATTCAAAGCAGGTCAAATGTTCGACATGTTTGAAGTTGTTGATCCCGATAGAGAGTAATCAGGAAGGAGGCACGTCCCTCTACCTAGCCCCTACGGCTGAGTCACTGAAAATCTCCCAACCCCGAGACACGGTAGCCGCGAGTCCTATACGGCCTTCGTCGGCGTGTGAACGCAGAGGAGCCGTCGGATGTTCAAGTCCCTCCCTCTGTGAAGGCGTTGGCCGCGTGGCAAACAGACCCTGACCTCCTCTGCCCTGAGCTACCGCCCGGCGCGGTCCTGTGACCACTTGTGATGTCGCATCGCTGTCGTCCTGTGATTCTTATTCCAGTTTGGCCTCGTGCGCGCAGTTTGCAAGAAAGTTTGCGGCGCAGTTATGGCAGAACGATAGCAGCGCAGTCTGTTGCGGCGCCTGGAAGCGCAATTTGTTGTTGGCGCTGGTAGATGGCAGCAAGATCGCTCCTTTTTCCCTGAGCGACCGCGCCGTGCTACCGGTTCGCAGCCAGGGTGGCGGCTGTAGATAATCCCAGATATTCTATTCGCGCGGAGGCAATGTGAATTGTCGGGCCTGCGCGCCTATCGTGTTCAGGGCGTCTGTGTTCAATTATCTATGCTGATGCACGGTGAAAGAACACATCTTGTTCTGTTCATTTCGAGATAATCCTCGTTCTGTTCACCACAAAATGTCTGCCTACCACCCCTAACGGCGTGGTGAATTCAGCTCGAACTCTCCACCATCAGACTTGCCTCCGCTTCCATTCTGTGCGCCTATCTATCCAACGTGAGCTGCCAGTCCTCAACCACTGTGACAATCGGGCCAGCGCACAGGGCGCTGGTTGACCACCTATTCTAAAACTTCAGCGTCCGACAAAACGGGGACAACCCGAGTTCACAGGGCAGAGACCCTTCAGAGGCACGAGCCTGCAGCGCGACTCGTGATGTGTTTTGCCGCGGGTCCGTGCGGAGGGGGGCGCTCGTTCAGGCTTTGACAGATGCAGCTGGCTCGCGCGGTCGCTCGGTGTACGTGGTGCGTGCGAGTGTGTCGATATTTTACTATACTCCAGGTCGAATGTCCACTCGTTGTTCTAACATTCCGCGCTGCTCTGACTAGAGTGCGGCCGCCCGCCGGTCCGCCGGCACGGGGCAGAGTCGCGGAGAGGCCGCCAGTGATCACGGAAACTGATATTTCTCGCGATGAGCCCTATTATCTGATATCACAGCTCTCCTTAAACAGAAGTCAATTCACGTCGAATTACTTTCATAATTTGTGCACCTATTTATTTGATAATGCAATCACCAACACTTCCACGCACTGTATCAGTTTCCGTTCACTTTTGGCCGAAGCTGTGACGGTTTAACGCCGATTTTCCGTGAGTCCGCCTCGTCTGTGCGATTTCGCCTCTGCTCTGTCCCATCGGTGCTATGCATCGACTGTGTATCTATAGAGAGCGAGCCGAGACCGGCTCGGATCACGCGAACGTGTAAATACATACTCTGGACACGCGGCCTCGATGTGAATAAACCAAACTTCCTTTTACGGCGCTCTGTTGACTGCTGATGTGGCTTAGATTGACGGGACAGGCAAGACTAGAGATATGATGCAATGCGCACTGCAGTAAGTTAAGCACAAGTGAGCACAATATCTTATATCTTATATCAATATCTTATATCGATGACACGGATAATTTCTTCGAAATTAAGATACTTGTATTCAACTCTTGCGAGGTGGAATAACTCAATGTAGTCGGCTATCTGAGGACATAACATCAGCTGGAGAAAGCCCCAACAGAAGTCTCGTCCAGCCCCGTATCACGATCATACATTCATCACTTCGACTACTATGCATTTCAGACCCCATGAGACCCTGCTTTTCGGCGATAATTTCTTCAATTTTTGTCCAATTAGCTTGAAATTTTGGCAGACGATATTTCAGCTCAAGCGCCAATTTTTGTCAATATGGTCTCTTAACAAAAAATCAAAATTTAGAGCACTTGTCGTTGGCTCGTAATGTTAATCAGTTTTTGCACCCGGATAGAGGCTCGCTCGCTACCGCACCGGATTGGATAGGAGCGCTGGCCAATCACGTTGCGCCGGGCCCAACTAAACTCCGCCCACTGGCCGTGACCGCGATTCTATGCCGCTTCAGTCGGTGTCAGCACCGCGGAGAGGTCGGGGCGGGACCACATACTGGAGACAAGTGAAGCTGGCAAAGTTGTTTCGGGACGAAAGCCAAAAAATTATCCGTTTGAGGGCATTTGGTATTCTCTTCACCTTATTTTGGTATTTAAACGTCGAACCAGCTCAGAATATTCAGAATGATCAGAATCAAGGTAGGATCTATTGGAACGGAACCGGCCGTAGAAGGAAAGATGGATAGACTCTTGGACTCTGAACATTTATGTAAGCAGGAGTTGCACCTATCTCATCGTCAGGTTGGGTCAGGTCACTACCCGATTACCTATAAGATCATGTGTAAGCCTGTGCTTAACCAAAAAATATTGATATATTTGGCAGTGCCAATAAATGTTTCTGAGGAAGGCGCAGAAAGCAACAAAGTAGGATGAAGAGTCTCGGGCACGGCCGATTGCCTGGGGCATCGCTCCAGCGAAACGACCGTATTCGTGATTCGTGAAGCGGTGCGGGGCGCCGGGTGGGGCAGAAGCGTAATGTGTCGTATGGTAGAAATGGCCTTTATCGCGGTGTCATGTGTGTGTTATATTATTAAGACGTGCACAAAAAGAAATAGCAATGTGGCAGGCGGACGTTGGGCACTACACGAGAATGATCATCAATGAATCGGTATCTTTTTTGTAAAACTTAAGTAACAGTAGGTATGTCCTCAATGGTGAGGAAACTATCTCTAGGCTTTTACTTTTCATGTTTGCATTTCAACACACAAGCTCTGGGGGCAAAGTTAGTCTGGCGACCTCCTCAACCTAAGTCGATGATCAAATGGATTAGTCCTGAAGGTGTTCAATGCTTAGTTGCACCGGGATGATATAAATCGATCACGCCGGCATACCTACATTCCTATTCAAATTTCATATATCAAACACATAAATTGCATCATGTTAATGGTGATTATGTTTTGCAATTTTGACGTAGTCTCACGCGATACATAATCTTACGCAATCATTTGAAATCAACAGCGTCTTTCATGCGCGTTTTTTCACAAGCCCCGAATCTTGTGTGGAAATATATATTTTTTGTGACTGAACAAAGTGTACGTACATTTGTGATAGATACAATTAGTCGAGGGCTTCAGCTGGTGCGTTACTTATGCGCGCTATTTAGCTCATTCGATGAAATTACGGCTGCAACGACAACTGCACGGCAGCTACCGGCTACGGTCCCTACAGTCCATGCGAGCCGCCCCGGTGCGACAGCTACTGCCCCGCCCGCTCCACGCAGCCGACTGACCGGCCAAGGTCACTACCCCGTCCGCCGGGAGGGCGGAGCTTAATGGTCACGTGTTTGTGACGTCACACCTACGCACGGATAGCCTCTACTCCACTGACGGATTTACGGAGCCGATTTTAACATTACGAGGCAACGACAAGTACCCTGAAATTTGATATTTTGTTAAGAGACCATATTGGCGAAAATTGGCGCTTGAGCTGAAATGTGCATTGTGAAAATTTGAAGCAAATTGGACAAATAGTAAATAAATTATCGCCGAAAATTAGGGTCTCATGGGGTCTGAAAAGCATAGTAGATACAAGCAGCTTCAGCTTAAAAAACTCCGTCCAAAAAGTAACAATATCAAATCGAGACCCGACTTCTTTGACACTCATTCAACCACGCTCGCCCAGGCAAACACACCACACAGCCCCTCACTCATACTCAGACGCGCATCCCTCCCCTCCCCCTCCCGCTAACCCCATCACCTGGGACGGGCGCCCCGCCAGCCTCCTCCGCCAGGCGGTGCGCGGCGCTCGCCGGCCGCCTGCTGCGCGGCGCGTTCCCAGCGCTGACGGCGTCTCTCGGCGGCCTCCTGTAGGCTCTGCAGGCGACTCTGCTGGCGCTCCGCCTGCGCCTGCTGCTGTTCGGGCGTCAGCAGCCCGCGGCGCGGTACGTGGCGCAGCGCGTGCTCCCAGCCGGCGCCCGCCTGCAGGTCGAGCAGGATTTGTCCCATGGCCACCAGCGTTAGAGAGGTACTGAACGACGGGCCGACACTGCCGGAGGAGAGAGGGGGTTAGAGGGGGCGGCGAGGGCGGGAGGGAGCCCTGTCGGAGGAGAGAGGGGGTTAGAGGGGGCGGCGAGGGCGGGAGGGAGGAGGGAAGGAGGGAGAAAGAAGAGAGCAGAACGAATCGAGGTGACAGTGACTTCGTACCGCTCACAACCACACACCTTGGGCTGAAACGCTTCCAGCACCTTCGAACGGACTTATGACACTACGACAAGATTCACACCAGCTTACACTTTAAGTAAAGAAACGCAATGTACACACACGCCATGTCATTTCTAAAAGGGCAACATATGAGAATTGGATTATTCGACGCAGTCTTTTGTTGAATTCGACGCATTGTCATTTTAATTGTAGATAACATATTTCACCGAATTTCGGTTGCGCAAGACAGACAATCTCAAAGTTTACTGAGGTTCCGACGAGACAGCCCACAACGATTTCTACACCATTTTGCCTTCAGTTTGAAAAAGTTAAAGTTCAATTTGAAAAAGATGTATTTCAATTTGAAAAAAATGCAATGCAAATCGAATGGCACGTGTTTCAAATTGAAGTGTACCTTTTTCAAATTGAGCTTCAGCTTTTTCAAACTGAAAGCAAAAAGGTGTAGAGTTTCCGAATCAAAACAACACAAAGATGCAACAAAGAAAACTTGAGAAGTCAGACCAACTTTCCGGATCGAGTTTCGACAGTTGAACGCCGTCGGAAAGGCAGGCCGGGGAACACCGATTGACGCCCAAACAGGAGTCGAGCACTTACAGCAAGTAACGGCAACAAAAGAGATCACATCCGAATATCCGACGCCAGTAGGCGCCTTGACCGAAATTGCATGAAAGCTCCTATCGTGATTATTTATATCCCAAGGCGGTTAATGCGAAATAAATATTAAAAAATATTCAGACTGCGACCCCGGTCCGGCTAACTTTCTGAAATGACATAAGGATACCTTATCAGAACCACTAATCCTGCAGTAAAGACTTCATGATACTAATAACTTACTCCCCAGATCCAGGATTGGGCTGTCATCCAGGAAATCACTTATGTAATGGATTCCTTTCAAGTTACTGTTGCCAGGCCATGTCATGCCATGCTGTCAGACGGAAAAGATAAAGCAGAAAGGCGTCTTATGACCATAAAACCGTTATGCAATTTGCAGCAAAAAGGACAGCCGTAGAATAAATCGTGAGATGCATCAGATTCAGCCATCAGGTGCATGTGAATAATATGCGGCGATTCGTGTCTCGAAGGCATTGTCACAATTAAATGATAAAAAAGCAATGATGGATTGGCTCCTAACATTTAAAGGGACGAATTGGTAAAGCCCGGCGCGGTAAGGGGAGCTTGTGGTCCAGGCCCCGACTCCCATCGTCATAAAGAGCAGCGAGTCTTGAGATACTAAGTAGGTTATATAAAATACACAAATCAACTCACAAAATATGTACACATCAGACACTATAAAATGAGAATGATAGGAAATTAAAGTATCGAGAGATTCTGGGGCCAAAGGCCCAAAGCAAAAATAAAGCCCCCTACACGATATTTTCACTCAGCATATTTATAGACCCCAAAAATGCCCTAGTTACTCACTTGAGGTACCTCTGCAGCGGCAGCTTGGCCATCTTGATACCCTCCTTCTTGGCCTTGGCCAGCGAGAGCGGCCTGCCCTTCACCAGGTCCACCACGCCGCCAACCACGTAGACGGCGTCGTGGTCGAACTCTCGCAGCTCGTTCCGGCAGTGTGGCGTCAGGTACACCAGCCGGTCCTTGGGGTACAGGTCCAGGTAGTTTTCCTGGTTCAGGTGCAGCGGGAAGCCGGGCTCCTCCACACTGGGTATGACCCGGCGCAGGAACTCCATGATCTCTCCCTGTGGATTCACGTTGCACAGGTGGAGGTCGAACGGGTCCAGCGCACTGCGGTTGTTGGCGAACAGCATTGTCAGCTGCTGCGCGGTGTTTTTGTTCTCGCGCCGTGTCATGTGCGGCTCGAAAGAGAGGTCCATGACGAGCGGCTGGCCGAAGCACATGGCCGTGTACAGTCGCTGCTCCTCCCACGACTTTATGGTGGTGTCGGTCACCCTGTGGAAGATAGTGTTGTGGCCGAGGCCGTACCGGATGTGACTCGGCCGCGACTCCAGCTCACGTGCTAGCTGCTCACGGCGCTCTTCAGCCTTCCGCTTCCGCCGTTCGGCGTCCGCCTCGCGACTCTTTTCGCGTTTGAACAGGTAGCCGAGGTACTTGCGTCGCGCCGAGTAGCTTCCCAGCCGCAGCAGCTCGCCCCAGTCGTAGTTGGACATCGAGTCGGGCACGCGCGAGCCGGACACCTGCATCTCGCTGTACTCGAGCATGATGAGGTGCAGCTGGCGGCGCCGTTCGTCCGACTCGGGCAGTCCGAGCGCCTCCGACACCCGCTCCGGATCGGCCGGCTGCGTGCAGAGCGGCCGGCGGGGGCACAGCGCCGCCACCAGGCCCGAGCGGCCGCTGCGCAACAGCAGCAGACGGCCCAGCATGGCGGTCAGAGATTGGCTGAAAAGATGAGGGTAGTGTTGGTGAGATAAACAGCAGAACCTGATTGATGCCAAGTAAAGCATGTTCAAATGAAAGCTCCCATGCTGATTAATGTAACAGATCAGGATGGCAAGCAAAACTAACATGAGAAAAGGATAAGGTAAAGCAAGTTTTTGGTTAAAACTTTCAAAGACTTGTCCATGGTCAATGGACATAGCAGGATTATTCAGAGACTCTAACATTGCACTTTGAAGTAAAAAAACCCTCTAGTTGGCTTTAGATTAAGATAGGATAGATAAATGTGGGCTAGGAAGTAAAGGCTAGGCTTTTACCTATTATTTGATCAGCCGTGGTTGCAAACTGCCAAACAAGGATATATTTGAGAATTGAGGGATGGTTGGTCACTCGTAAATTGTGATCGGATGCTGTTTCACGTTTATGCCATGTGCATTGTCCTAATAACATTTATATTTACAATGTACACCCTGTGTCATCAGATGCAAAAGATATCATAACAGCACTTACATAATTTAGAGTTAGTGTGCACAATTATGATTCACAAGCTGAAAAGAAGGGAAAATTCCAGATCATCAAGAACCCATTCTGATTTCAGTTGATTTAATTTCGACAAAAGCAAACCAAATTGCCCACCATTAATGGCAATACCACTTACTCCTAACAGCCCCTGGCCAAACAAAATCCGACAATTTGAGTAACAACCCCTCTTACTGTCAACTACACCGTCAACTCCCAGCCCTGCTCGCAACGCACGTGTCAAGCTGAACAAATATTCCATCAATAGCGATCTTCAAGCATACCGACCAATGGCAGCGCAGAAGTGTAGGAAAGCAGCGAATCAAATGTCGACATTTCTCCTGCGCTTACAATTAGAACATATTATACGTTGCAGCGAAACTAAGGCGTATAATACATTTTATGGCGCAAAAGTTGCGCGTTGCGCGCGCCGCGAGCGACATGCAGTTGTGCAGTTGTATAATTTTTCAATTAGATTTTGGTGAGTATCAAGTGAGTAAGTACCAAGGCCGTATAAGAGGTGCGTACTGCGAAAAGTTTTAAAATCTGTTAGAACTTTTTCAGTTTTCTGCTACAGAATCCTGGTAAATCATGCTCTCAATCTGAAGCGCTGCTTGCTGTTGTTATTGCACGTTATGTCAGTAGGCGGAACTATGGTCAAGCGTACCCATTTTCGGGAACGCATTTTCGTTCCCATGTTTGGGAACGATAAACCCAAATATGGGAACGCCATGTAGGCATTATTTAAAACAAGAAAAAGAACCGTTAAATGACGTCCAAAAAATATAAAACGATCGTGAACCGCCTGATATTTGTCTCAATATTGTTGGGAAAGAGTTTGATATTGTAAGGCCCATCGTAGTTTCAAATCGTTCCCCTATTTCTAAAGCAGTCCATCATCCGGGCCGCGAGCCCAAATTTGGGAACGCTCTCGTACACTGGCGCTGCAAGCGTTCCTTATTATGGGAACGGCGTACCCAAAATTGGGAACGATTTCACCGACGCCTTTCAGGGGCTCTTTTCATTAACAAGCATCACGTCCAACGCCGCAAATTATTGTTAACGCAACAATCATCAGATGACCTTTCCGGCAAGACCGTCGCATGTTTCGCCCGGTCTTCTGCGCTTTTATTCCCGTCGATCTCGCAGCGGGCACGCCCCCCTCTGCAGGATTTCGTAATTCACAACGCTCAGCGATGTTCAACAAGGTCTTCCATACCTATATCCACCGTCCGCGCTGAGGGTGGAGACATGTCAAGCACCTGTCTGTTTATCACCGATAGTTGACGAGTACAAGGAAGTATCTAAAAATGGGAACGCTGAATATGTTACACCCTCAAAACACCTAGTCCCAATGAAAATCTAGTTTTTTCCTTTCTTGATGAGTGTAAGTGGCAAAAGGCCTGGTAGGATGAGCACGAGGAATTATCGAAATCAGCATAAAAATTATAAATAAGCCACACAGAGCGAGCTATATAAGAGAAATTCCCCCAAAACGATCACGCTTAGAAACACGGAAGACAAAACCACGCTCATGACGCTCCTTATAAAACAACTCTAAACAGCTAGCATCCAAATAAAATATGTCTTTCCGGGATGATAAAATACAGCTGGATAATTTTCAACCGCTTAAACTGAGTTTACAACAGTAGCTCGGTAAATTCACTCACGTTCCACGCGGTCGTCCGCCCCGACACAAAAGTCAACAATATTACCTCGGGACCGTCCGCGTCTTCGCTTGCATTTGTCAGCATCTGGTGTCGATAGTATGAAAGTTCATAACCAGGCGAAAATTATTATACTTTACCTCAAACTAAAAAATGCTTCATTTTCCTTAAAATTGCATGTTAAATGTCGTATAACCCATATTTCCACCATTCTGTCATTTTCAAAAAATCATTAAAAATATCATTCCACGGTCAATTTCCTTGTTCCACGGTCAGATTAAAGATAACTTTATGGAGATTTAGTAGACACTTAAATCAGCGTGCACTTTTTTGAGACGTGATGCACTTTTGAGTTTTAGTGGGAGAACGGCCGAAAAATTGCCTTCCGTTCTCATAAATGGGAACGCCCGTTCCCATATTTGGGAACTCCGTTCCCAAAAATGGGAACGTTCCTATATTTGGGTACTCATGACCATAGTTCCGCCTACTGATGTCGGGCATTGACTTAGGCTTGTTTGTTGGAAGTTGGAACTGACTTGGGGTCATGCAAAATCAAATCAAAATTTTGGTGGGTTGAGGAGGGAGCTAGACTGAAAACATCCATGCACTACGCCAGATGGCGGACATCTGTGAGACCCTCTTGCACCGAAATTTGGCACGTGATTTTGTTCTGAAATTTTTGGTGGACGTTCAGGGTAGGTAGGTAGTTAAATAGGGGGCGCATATTTTGAGAACGTAACACAAATTGCTGCTCTTTTAATAAGATTATTTTAATTTCTTGTAGATTGTAAGTTATTAGATTCTGTAGGCCATAGTGTTTTAAAAACATGTATTTTTTTTGGTAGGTACGTAAATCAGGAACCCACACTGCTGTGATTGCGAAATACGCCACACGGCCACCTCTCCCGAACGGTCACCATTTTTTTTTGTATGATTTATGCCAAAAATTGGGTGCCTATTTGTGCCAAAATTAAGCCAAGTATAAAGCACATTGGCACATCTACCTATCAAGGCTATATCAATCTGACAGTGTTCCAGGGCCTTGTTATAAATAAACTTTTTCGGACACTCAAACATGGGAGAGCGTCCTGACTCCTGAGCCCTGACCAGGTTAGTCTTGGATGCTGTCCCATGCTTGGGTTGAGAGTCCAAATAAGTTTTTTATTCCAGGGAAACCGAATAGCTCAATACGCTTAGCACACTGTAGGGTCGTGCTGTGAAACAAGGCTGGAGTCGGAAGTTTCGGGGCCACAAAAATCGGTGGAGCAGTCACGCCTTACGGTATGTTTGAGGCTGGCGGGAGCCAGCGAGGGCCGGGCAGCAGAGCAGCAAGTGCTCTGGCTCATCAGCCTCTTCTCAGCACACGGCGCAGAGCGCCGCGGGGCACCGCTTGTCTGGGCACTGCTGGCACGTTACGGAGTGGAGACAGCCGATTCGATGTACGTACTGAAGCGAGCGGCCCCAGTGGCCCGCCCTCATCTGATGCACCGAAACGGTGTCCTCTCGGTCCTCTCCGGGGTTAGGGAGCGGCGGCGTGCTCACGAGGAGTGGCTGGAATTATCGGACTGGACTCAGATCAGTTGTCGCCCCATTGATGCGAGGTCACACAATGAACCGCCCTGGTCAGCGAGCAGGCATTGGAGGGCAGGGCGGCCTCTTGTGTCGCCAGGTCGTCCGCGCTCTCATTCCCATCGATACCGCAAAAGGCAGAAACTCACTGCATGACTTGAAAAAGGGGTGTGACTTGTGAGACACTTTTGCATCTCTCGCTGTTTTGCTGGATGCGGTGGGATTCCTCACATTTCATGCTGCCCGAATGACAATTTTTGTGAGGAATTTCTCAGTGTGGAACTTCCACATGAAAAACTGCCCACCTGAACGCACACTGTGTATCCCACAGACAAATTTCGTAATTTTATAATTGGGTTTCCATGCAACTGATAATGCAGTAGTGCTTGTAGCTGCTAGCAGTGTGCCATGAAACTGGGCCCCAGTCTAGAGCTAAGTTCCTTTCCTCAAGGTATTCAATTCTCATCCAAAGTATGTGGCATTGTTGTTTCCTAGCCTCTTGAAGCAGCATGAGTTTCAGTAAGCACCTGGTCCGGTGGATATGGTTAATAGTGCTGAATCCAAATGGCCTTGTCTATTCAAATGATGACACATGTTTATTCAAAGCATCATTGAAATCTACCTGTTCAATGATGCTTTGAGCAAGGCCATCCTCTCCTCTGACATAGGATGGTTTTCTTTTGACAGACTGCTAAGAGAAATGGATAGTGATTCTTCTAGCAGCACCATCACCAGCTCTTCATCAGACTCCTCTGACCAGGAGAACCTCAAGAAAAAGGACAAGTGGTGGACAGAAGAGTGCCAGGATGCTACCAATGCTCTTCGGAAAGCACTGCATGCCTTTAGGCGCGACAAGCGCTCCAGTTCCCTGAAACGCAAATACAGAAAGGCAAAAATGCATAGAAAGCGGGTACTCCGAAATGCGTACGACGATTGGTAAGTAAACGTTATTGACTTACAAATACTTACTTGTAATATAAAATTAACGAGTTCATTTAGAATGACACTTTTTTTGCATTTCTGCTTGCTGTCTGAATAAAAACAATCAGACATCTTACATATATTACAAAGAACGTTATTTGCTAGTCTTGGTCACTTGTTGATAAGTTACTTTGATAAGGTACCGTTTTTCTTGTGTTTCTAGGGCAAAGTCATCACCAGCAAAGAGCAAAAAGAGCAAAGACAAGAAGGAAAAAAGAAACAAGAGGGCCAAAAAGAGCAAAGTAAGTTGTCAACATTAATATCGTCGCAATAGTACAGACCGCATGTGGCTGACGAACCGGTGTCGCAGTCGACCCAACGTATGCTTAGCACTTCCCGACTGATCATTACCGTAAAATACTTACGCAACTTGTATAATGTATATATGTTTGGCATATGTTCTGGCATCTGACGTCGGATATCTGTTCATTTAAACTCTGGAAAAAAGATGAAAAAGGAAACCACGAAACCCTTTGCCAGCCCTGCGAGTCTGACAACGGCACCGTTGCCCCTGGTCCACCCTGATATACTTTGGTGACACACAGAGCTAACGAGCATAAAACCACACTCTTAGGTTCTCAGTTGTTTTTCATCAGGGAGACAATTTTAGCGGCTAATGGCGGGAGAGCTTCGTCTGACAACCCGCACCCCTGACACCCTGCACACCTGACACCATGCACCCCTGACACCCTGCACCCCTGACACCCTACACCCCTGACACCCTGCACCCCTGACACCCTGCACTTCTGACACCCTGCACCCCTGACACCTTGCCACCCCTGACACCCTGCACCCCTGACACCCTGACACCCTGCACCCCTGACACCCTGCACCCCTGACACCCTGCACCCCTGACACCCTGACACCCTGCACCCCTGACACCCTGCACCCCTGACACCCTGCACACCTGACACCCTGCACCCCTGACACCCTGCACCCCTGACACCCTGCACCCCT